CCAGCTAGACAGAAATATTCAAGACACAGAAGTCTTCTGACTAACTTGTCGCCTTAAAGCAACAGTAGCCGCTGGCCGGGCGAGCTGTCCGTCTGTCTGTGTGTGTGTGTTTGTCTGTCTGCCCCCGTCCCCCCGGGGCTGCGGGAGCGCCCGACGCTGCAGCCGCTCGGGGAGCGGCGCCGGGGCCGGGGGTTCCCCTCGGGTGTGAGCGGGGTTTGTCCATCCGAACGGGATCGCCTGGAACCGCCGAGCATCCCCCCGCCCGCCCCAAGGCTCGCGTTACAAACAGTGTCCCTTGCACGCTGACCCCGCCGGTGACTCCGGGGAGGGAGGGAGGGAAAGGGGAGCGCGGCTGGACGGCCCTGTTAGCAGGGACCGAGTTTCTGCGAGAACGGTGAAAAGATCTCGGTAGGAAATCACGATGAGAGATGGGAAAGGGCAAATGGCAAAATCCCAATAGCAACAATGCATCTGTTCATTAATGTGTGAATATGAGTAATATGAAAATTTAACACAATTATAAGCCCCTCAGCAAGCCCGGTGGCAGAAAATAGATTGTGGTGATCTAATCAGCGTTTCCCCTGTTGAAACACAGTATGTTAACTATTTAAAATAGTACTATAAACATTTTTTTCCTTAAAAAAAGATATAGATTTAATCGATGTACTAACTTTGTTTCAAACCTTACTTGTCTTGAACTGCAATTTTTACACAAGACACTTCAACAGAATTTTTATCTGCAATTCTGATACAGAATCAGCAAATAATTGTCCTTTTGCTAATACTTAAAAAGAATTTTAATTCTGAAAGACAATAGCTTCCCCACCCCTAGAGCTTTATAGAGCTAAAGAGCTATATTAAATTACAGCTAGTTTAATTCTATTATATACAGTGTTAACATACTGTATTTACATAAAATATGCTATTCATATACTCAACCTATCCCATTTCAGTAACTGCTTGTGAAATACATTATGCACCATACCTTGGAAACAAACATTATGTCTTTTATATACTTCCTTAAAAAAACATTTTAAATTTACACATCTTAAATAAAAATAAATGTTTAAAAGGTTAAAACTGTAGAGCTTTCATGAATTATACAGAATCAAAGTGTCTTTTGTTCAGGTTTGTTTTTTTAAGTCTTCATTGGGAAGATGATGCTCCCAAATTAATAAAGAAACACTGTATCTCGTTTGCCAAGCACTTGCTCTCAATTTGTTAGAAAGTCAGTACAACTTTTAATGCTTGCGTATGTATTTCACAGCTTGACACTGGGCAAGGTGGCCTGCATGCAGGAACTGTTATTCCTAATACTCCCCTCTTGGATTCACCAGAACGTTACCACATCCAAAACCTTAACTATATTGTGACAGACTCGGGATCTGCATCAGGACAACTGCATATCATGACAATCTAAATTATCATTTCCGAAAAGCTATACACAGTGCGCTTGGCCGTTCTGAGTACTTTGACTTCTCAGAACATCTCCCAATTCCATTTTTTCACAGGAATTTGGGATTAGCCCCACTTCTTCTGAACCTACTTGAGCTGAGAAGACCCCCCATTACCTATTTGCAGCGTAGGTCCTACAGCACACAGGAAAACAATTCCGAGTCTATCCACAGCACAGTATGAATACAAAAGAGTTGTTCACGGGTTGTTTGTGAAGAGTAATTCATTAAAGTTTGGGAAACATTTTCGTTCCAGAACACTATGAAAAGTGTTAAGTGTTGTTATAAAAGAGGATTACTGGTAGGGCACCAAAGAGAAAGACCGAGATGGAAAGAGTAATAGGAAACATTAGGCAAATGTTGGCAAAGAGGAGACTGACTGAATTAATAGAGATACAAATTAATCTACAAAAAATATTTCTGCTGTCTCTGTTCAGCACATTTATCAGCCATTAGCTCTATTCTAGAGATATTTATGGCACATTTTGTTTTTCTTGTTTCACTCTTGCCTCTGTTGCTTGCATATGCTTCTTTGCATCACTGCCTATGGCAATACCCACTGGTGAATGGCCCTCCGACTGTGCCAGCCACTGTGGCAGCAGCACACGGGCTCCTGGGTGCCCCCTGGCCCCGCTGCTCTCCCTCCTCCCCTCCCTCCTATGCCAAGTACCAACGAGGCTGACTCCTGCCTCTGCAACAATGAGACCTGGCAACCGATGCCAGCAGCCCATCATTCTCACGCGGGCCTTCAGCGCGCAGGATTCAACCACCGTGGTGTAACAGTCCCATGCTAGCTGCTCTGATTGGCATGTCCATATGCACGTGTGCATCAGTCCTGCTTGAGCACACATGTGCATATGCCCTTACAGTACTGGAAACCAAACCATCTAAGTAAACTAACAAAAAAATGCTTTTTAATCTAACTTCTTGTATGCTAACAAGGATGCTGCTGTCCCTCTGCTTCTGCATTTGATGATTAAATACAGCTTGATTGACTTATTTGCTTAAAAGACTTGAAGTTTTCATGCTGAGAAAGGAGCAGTTTGTTTCCAGGAACAGGCCAGGGCTCCAAAGCCGTAGAGAGAGGCACCATTTTTAAAACTGTCTGGTAGACTTCTGTTTAATTTAGTGTACTTCCAGAAGTTGTGCTTCCCCACACACTCCCCCGCCCAGGCATTGTAACTCCCTTTGGGAGTGACCTAATCCTACTGTTTAATGGCAGCGCAGATGCACATGTACCTGAACCTGCCTCAGCAGCCTTCCAAAAATGCAGTCCCACAGCTCAAAATTCCCTTGAGGCCCAAGCTCTCCAGTAGCTCTTTTCAATCCATGCTCCAGGGTCAC